GGATGCATAAACGTTTATACAACTATTTTATACAGCATATTTGCGCGGTAGTCAAAATAGTTGTGTTGTGGCATCCATGGTAACGGTTATACAATAAACCCGAGCCTTGTTGTTTTGGTGTGCACATTTACTACTTCAGCCAACAAATTGCTTCCAACGTAGGCACTTATACAACTGTCGTTCAGTAACTGTTAAAGGCTGTACATCTGCAACAATATTACAACTTTTATAGTACAAAATTGCTGTGCTCGGCATACATTTGTTGCTAAGTATGTTGGTATACAACTTCACCATAGCCTAACTTTCTGCTGTCATCTTGTTAGCTAAAATGCCAGAACCACTATTTTAAGACATGCATATTTTGTTTAAAAGGTTTTATCAACTGTTCAAACAGGAGATATAGATATGATACAAATTCTGGGTAAATCATTCGACTCTGTCCATATTTCATTTCAGAGATTTGTCAAATTGTTTTATAACACTCGCAGACAACACCAAAATATTCTAATAAACCAGAGCCAACATGGACGATGCCGTCATGATTATACATAACCACCCGCCATATTGGGCAAAAATATATTCCTCTATTGAAAATTAATTAAATATGCTGCAGTTCGACATTACAGATATAAAGTGATAAACATTAGTGTAATTGTGTCTAAATATAGGATTTGTGGAAGATTCAACGCAGATAAGTTCTGTTTTTCATCTTAAAAATCCAAACATACTTTTGATCATTATTAAAATATGAATCAAATACGAAGCTCGTAGAAATTGCGTAACTACTTTGCACGATAATCACAATAAAATTTGCTGCGCAAGTAATTCAATAGCCCTATATCACAGTGTAGAAGTTTATCACCCAGCTAGCAAAGTAGTGCTATAAGCTTTTGGTAAAAGAACCAACATATTTGCTCTAAAATCAGGTGTTTCAAATATTCTTATAGCATAGTTATACAACAACCTTATAGGAAAAAATTTTAACTGGTGCATAAACGTTTATACAACTATTTTATACGGCATATTCGCACGTTAGTCAAAATGGTTGTGTTGTGGCATCCATGGTAACGTTTATAAAACAAAACCGAGCCTTGTTGTTTTGTTGTGCAAATTTACTACTTTAGCCAACAAATTGCTCCCAACGGAAGCACTTACACAACTGTTGTTTAGGAACTGTTAAAGGCATTTGTTGCTAAATATGTTGGTATACAACTTCACCATAACCTAACTTTCTGCTGTCATATTTTTGTTAAAATGTTATAACCAATGTTTTAAGACAAACAACGCATGCATATTGGTTCAAAAGGTTTTATCAACTGTTCAAACAGAAGGTATAGATCTGGTACAAATTCTGGGTAAATCATTCGACTCTATCGGTATTTCATTTCAGACATTTGTCAAATTGTTGTATAACACCTGCAGGCATCACCAAAATATTCTAATAAACCAAAGAAGACATGGACGATGCCACGATTATACACAACCACCCGCCATATTGGGCAAACATTTATTCCTCTATTTAATATTAAATAATTATGTTTCACATCGAAATTACAGATATAAAGTGATAAACATTAGTGTAATTGTGTCTAAATATAGGATTTGTGGACGACTTAACGCAGATAAGTTCATTTTTCCATCTTAAAAACCTAGACATACTTTTGATCATTATTAAAATATGAATCAAAGACGAAGCCCGTAGAAATTGCGTAACTACTTTGCACGATAATCACAATAAAATTTGCTGCGCAAGTAATTCAATAGCCGTATATCATAGTGTAGAACTTTATCATGTACCTGTGTATGAAATTCAGAATCACCGATATGTAAGTAAACAAGATGATTGTAATGTGTTAGTTATATATTCTTCACTTCGTCTATACAATACATAAGAATTAGTTTGGTAGAATCACGTAACAGAATAGTTGTATAGTTGACAAAAACTGAATCTTGCACTGACGCACATGTCCTATAGCGGCTGCAAGAGGCTTACACTTTTGTTGTATAACTGTTACCTGCAGCCCTTATTTAACCTCTTAAATGACTGAAGTATCCTATTAGGTGTGCCCATTCCGCTTGTATAGCTGTTCTGAGACGGTTTTGCCAATGTTCTTACAGTATACAATGCTGTTTAAGGAATACTGTATAATCATTCTTGCAATTCTAATAGGAGTGATAATTGTTAGTTGGGAATATACCTTTGCATGAAATTGACAATGGCCGATATGTAAGTAAACAAGATGACTGTAATGTGTTAGTTATATATCCTTTACTTCGCCTATATAATATATAAGAAATAGTTTGGTTGCAATAAAGTAGAATCATGTAACATAACAGTTGTATAGTTGACAAAAATTGAATCTTGGACTGACGCAAATGTTCTATAGCGGCTGCAAGAGGTTTACACTTTTGTTGTATAACTGTTACCTGCAGCCCCTATTTAACCTCTTAAATGACTGAAGTATCCTATTAGGTGTGCCCATTCCGCTTGTATAGCTGTTCTGAGACGGTTTTGCCAATGTTCTTACAGTATACAATGCTGTTTAAGAAATACTGTATAATCATTCTTGCAATTCTAATAGGAGGGATAATTGTTAGTTGGGCAACCTTTGCATGAAATTGACAATGGCCGATATGTAAGTAAACAAGATGACTGTAATGTGTTAGTTATATATCCTTTACTTCGCCTATGCAATATATAAGAAATAGTTTGGTCGCAATAAAGTAGAATCATGTAACAGAATAGTTGTATTGTTGACAAAAATTGAATCTTGGACTGACGCAAATGTTCTATAGCGGCTGCAAGAGGTTTACACTTTTGTTGTATAACTGTTGCCTGCAGCCCTTATACAACCTCTTAAATGACTGAAGAGTTTTACCAGGTGTGCCCGTTCCGCTTGTATAGCTGTTCTAAGAGCCTTTTGCCAATGTTCTTGCAGCATACAATGCTGCCTAAGGAAGTCTGTATAATCGTTCTTGCAAAACTAATCGGAGTGGTAATTGTTAGTTGGGTTTAGTTTTTCGCTTTTGACATTTTCAGCGACTCCTGGTTGTTTTCAGGAAAATCCTTTGTATCAGTTTTTTAGCAGACATACCATCGTAGCCCCCGTAATTATTCGCACCTATCAGACATATGAATTTCATACATAGATTTCCTTCTACAGATTTGTCTCCAAGACATGGTATATGACATTTTCGATGGCAACGAAAACAGGAGATAAACATAGCCAGGTAGTCGCTATCATTGGTAGTTTACTCATCACTATTCTAATTTTCTATGCCTGTCAAATGGTTGTGGACTGGATACTAATTATATGGACCTGTTTAACTGACCTTGATCCATTTAATTCTTTTAATACATGTTCCTGGTGAACCACTTTTACAAAAAGGGGCAAACCTGTGCCGAACCATAATATTTGATGAAGTGATGACAGTGTTGCGTGATGAGCACAGAGTCAACCTACTAGACGTAATTTTTTCAATTATTGCAAGCCCACAGTGAGACAGTTGTAATAAAATAAGTTTCATGGTTTTACAATCCAAAAACTACGTCGGCTCTAGCCCAGTTATTGATATTTATATGCACGGACTTCCGGACTTTATGGCTTTCCCAGCACCAACGAAAACTTCCAGCAACCATAACGGACTTGATAGAGCAGTTCTCTGATATGCTGCAGTGGCGACTTCAAAAACTTTTATCTGGACTTTTTGCACGCATTTTGCATGCAAAACAGAAGAAAATCCGCTTATGTACGACGAAAAGTGGGAACAGGGTTAGTGAGAAATCTATTTTTGGCTTTCGGATATTCGTTATATATTTCCCCTGAGCGGAGGGACAGCTTTCGTTCTTTCCCGACAGAGATATTAGAATGTAGGTCAGGATGTTATTTTTTTCGATTCCATATTGCTCCATGAATGTAAATACATTCACGTCGTAGTTCCTAAGAATGTGCATCATATTTTGACGGATGGTATTGTCAAACGTATTTAGACCTTCAGACCTTGTCATAAAACTCGTATCAATACAACTTTACATGGAACATATTTCAAACTGGAAGACAAAACATAAATGGAGGGCCTAAATTCATTTGAAATAAGTATGCAATTATTTGCATCAATACAGGGTGGACTAAACCCTTACCACGGAGATAACAAGGCCTAACAACTGAGCTGTGAAGTGACGCTAAGTAGTCGATTCGACATGCTGGCTGGTGACAGCGGTGTTGACATATCTAGATATGATATAGTAGTATCGAAATCTCTGCTAAATAGTTATACCTCTCTGTAGGCGAATTTGAAAGATATTCTCGGGGCCAGTACAGCTTCAATGATAAAGTGATTATTCTTTCTGATCTGCCTCAGTACGTCAAGAATACATTTTCGATATTATAAATATCCCTCTTGGTACACCAGTGAAATTATAAAACTAGTAAAACGAAAAGACAAAGCGCACAAAAAATTTAAAAGGTCTGGTGCTAGCGAATATTACCAAGAATTCGGCAAACACAGGAAAATATTTAAGCTTAAAACCAAAGAGGCATATAATATCTATCTTCAAACCATTCAAAATCAGCTAAATGATGACCCTAAGTCTTTCTGGTCTTTCGTATATAGTAAAGACAACACTTCTAGGATTCCCAATAGAATGATGCTGTATGGTAACGAGTCATTTGGTGATCCTCAAAGTATAGCCAACGCCTTCGCTGATTTTTTCTCCAGCGTTTACTCAACTGCTGATGTCGATACTGAGTTGAACTTTAGTTGAACTTTGATTTCAGTCATAGTGGATATATAGATATGGAATAGTCCATAATTGGTTACTATAATCTGTCCATATTTGGATCTTCCAACGACTTCAAACTGATATTTACATTTTTATATCTAAGAAAGTAATACAGTTAAATACCGCTAAAACCTACAAAAGTACATCTAAACTATCTCTAGAATCATAACAACAAGGCTGTGTGCAGTTTTTGTATGAAAAATAAGCATTTTTTTAGATACCTTGGAAAGTTATGCGGAAGCGACAAAACAAAACACTGCGACAGTGACGAAAGGGTTCGCTCGACTGACATGTTACAACTTGTACGCGCCAATGGCAAGATAAAGAAACACTGTTTATTGCGTGCGTGAGTCTCCGCTTGAGAGGAATGCCCGTATTCCATATTAGGGATACTATTCCCTATTTGGTCACTTTTCTCTAAGTATGTATTATTATTTATAGTTATTGTATATTAAGTAGTAGTAAACAAGCAAACGATATCGTCTTACCTTGACAAGAATTTGATTGGTACACAGTCCATGAAATAACCTTTTGGCGAAGAGTTTCCATTTATAATGATAAAATACGAGTCTGGATACATTGGTGCAGCGGATTTTACAATTTTCAGTCGTTTTTCTCCATATTTATATAACCTCGGAGTGACGTAAAATTGACAGGTTGACAGTTTGTTCTTCCTGATTCATACTACATAAGAAATAACTACCCGCAAAAAGAAGAAGGAAGAAGAACAACAATAAAAGCCCGAGAATGAAAAAAACTGCATCACATTCGAGTAATGTAAAAAAGATATCAGAAGAGAATCGATCCCTGAAGATAGCACTAGCAGAAAAGGAGGAAATAATTCGTCAGCTCAATACCGAAAATTTAAAACTAAAAGGGCTGCAGCTGTCAGTAACCGCAAGTATTACTGAGAAGGATGCCATAGCATCAGCATTAAATATTAACATGAGACTCCACGAAGTTGATAAAAACCAGTTAGTAAAAGAAAATTCATAGGCACAAATCTTAAAACAAACGATACCTATCAATCGCTGAAATGCATCACAGTTATTCCAAAAGAAAAACAATCTTGCGATGATACGAGAAGAGAATTGAGTAAGAGAATAAATCTTTCACCTCCGAACATTCAAATAGAAAGTGTGAGAAACTCAAAAAATGGCGGAATTGATATAAAAATTGACGAATCAAATCATAATAAACTGAAATATGAATTTCAAAATAAATTGAATGAACAATACCATGTTACTGAGGCGAAAATGTTAAATCCAAAAATTAAAATAATAAATTATAGAATTAGTGAGAAACCAAATGAAAAGCAAATTGAAGAAGACCTTATACATCAGAATTATATGTTTCAGAGTGGAGACATACAAGCAAAGTTTATAAAATATTTTCCATCAAGAAAGAATTACACTATCTACGCGGAAAATTCTGGAAAGCTATTAAAAAAAACTTCGAAGACAATAATAGAAGAATACTTCTGGGGTGGCAATGTTTGACAGTATATCAAAATAGAGACATTTTTCAGTGTAGAAAATGCTACCGTTTTAATCATACAGAGAAGAATTGCCGAAATGAGAAAATATGTGCCAACTATGGCAACGGTCACGAAGGAGAAAATTGTAAGCATGTATCAATAGAATGCTGTACCTGTAGATATGGAAATGAAAGATAAAAGAAAATTATAATATCAACCACTCACCTACCGACAAAAACTGTCCATCGTTCAAATATTATCAGGAACAACAAAACCTAAGGATACTTTTATAAAATTCAAGTTCATCTTTTCATACTCCTATCTCTAAAGAGAACCTAAAATGTCAGTAAATAAATACATTAATGATTTCCAAATTCCAAGTATTGCAACAAATATAGTACAAAACGTCGATGAACTTAATTTATGTACACAAAATTCTGATGCAAAAATTCGAATTTTTAATATGAACATAAGGAGTATAAAACACAACATTGATTACTTAAAAATACTACTCGACCAAATATGGTACAATCTAGATCTAATAGTTTTAACTGAAACGTGGCAAATGGTTGATATTTCTCGCTTCAATCAGCAGGGATATGACATGCTGTATAACTTTGGCACTTATAACCAAAACGATGTGGTTATAGTTTTTCTAAGAAATAAACTTCAATATAATCATGATACATGCACTTTTACCAATGGAATCAAAATTTTAAACATAATGATCCAAATTAACCATAACAAAATTGAGGTTTCTGCAATTTATCGTCCGCCATGTTCAGAACCCCACGAGTTTTTAAAGAATATCGAATTATTTTTTCCAAAATCAAAGTAACGTTCATTTAAAGCAACATATTTTCTTGGGAGATGTCAATATAAATATTTTGGATGATGATCCCATCACAAATAAATACTTGAATATCCTATCAAGTAACGGATTTCTGTCCTGTATAAAGCTACCTACAAGGTCCATCAGTGGCACATGTATAGGTCACTGCTTTGTGAAATACCTATCCAACAAAATTACTTGTATACCAGTAATCCTAGAAAGCGATATTACTGACCACTTCTCCACTATTTTACTGATATCTTCAAATGAAAAACATTCTAGCATCTCTACCGTTAATAACAACCAGGAAAATTACAATTTTTTTGTCGACAATTCAAAACCAATATCGAATGTCAGACAAGAATCCTGGGAACAGTTATACTCTAAAAATAATATAGAGAAAGCAACGGGACTGTTTATAGAGAAAATAAAAAAACTAATAGATATTAGTACCAATAAAGTAATAATTAGTCACAAATAGAAAAGCAGAAATGCCTGGATTATCAAAGGATTAATAACATCGGCAATAGAAAAAGGAAGACTGTATAATGTAATGAAACTAACGCCAACTACAGGAATATCGACTGCTACAACCAATATAAAAATAAATTTATAGAGCTTGCAAGGCAAACCAAACGAAAACATTACCTAAATAAATTGAATAATAACTTAAATGATCCTAAGCGGCTTTGGACAACTATTGATGAGATTACTGGGAAAACAAAATTTAAAGAGTGTGTCACTGAGTTAAATACAACATCGGGAACAGTATTAAGAAATACTCAACAAATATGCGATGAATTTGTACAATTTTTTACTGACAGGCGAAAATTTAGCAAGTAATATACAAGCAAATGTACCCAATACTCAGCCTCCAAGAAGATCTTTGAACTCATTTATTTTGGATAAAGTCGAGCAATGTGAAGTATCCACCACTGTTATGTCCTTAAAAAATCGAAAAAGTCCTGGGTTGGATGGTATTAAAAGCGAGCATTTGAAAATTATAGCCGAGGACATAACAGAACCACTCACTTACCTAATCAACAAATGCTTTGAATCTGGCATATATCCCTCAATTTAAAAAAAAGTAATATAATACTGATACATAAATCAGGAACAAAAACAGATGTTAACAACTATAGGCCAATATCAATAATATCCAGTATAGCAAAGGTTTTTGAAAAAGTTTTATCTACTAGAATGATTCGATACCTCACAAAATTCAAAATTTTAAGTGAAAATCAATATGGATTTACAGATGGGAATACGCAATAACTAAAATTGTAAATCAAATATGTACATCCAAATATTGAGAACAGAATCCCTTCAATCTGCATTTTTGTTGATTTAAAGAAAGCTTTCGACACAGTTAATCACAAATTATTATTAGACGCATTGGAGAGCATTGGTTGTTTCAGAGGAAACGCGTACTAACTGATCGAAAATTATTTGTCAAATCGCCCACAATCAGTGCAGATATCAGGATCGTTTAGTAAAGAAATGTATATTAAGTGTGGTGTCCCACAAGGAACTATCTTAGGTTCGCTATTATTCAATATATATTTAAATGATATTTACCAAATTAATTGTGTTGGCAAAATAACCAGTTTTACAAATAATAGTGCAATATTATATATATGAAGGCACTACCTGGTCTGATCTGAAAAATGTAATTGAAAATGATTTTATCAAAATTATTCGGTGGTTTAACAGTAGAAAATTAAGCACTAACTATTCTAAAACACATTTTTTACCATTTGGATCTTATGCTAGACATCTGCCAAATTACACAAATTTTTCCTTCAACATTAATGATCAAAAAATGCAAATTAATAGAGTACCAAACATAAAATACCTTGGAGTGGTCTTGGATCCTCACTTACGATGGGACATCCATGTCAATTATATTTTAACGAAAGTTAGATTTGTATCCTACAAAATTAAATACCTTGGGAATATATTGACAGAAAAATATCTTCGAACATTATACCATGCACTGATTGAGCCTCATCTCACATATGGTATATTAGCATGGGGAGCTGCATGTTCCTCACATATCTATAATTTAGCTGGTTTTCAAAAAAGTATTCTAAAAATGATATTTAAAAAACCGAAACCTTATCCCACTGACAAATTATCCGCAGATGTTCGGATGTATGATGTAAGACAGCATTATTTCTTACACAGTATCACCCACTACCATAAATTTGTAAACACCGACCAAAAAATTAAACATAATCATTATACAGGGTGCAAAATTCGTGGCACAGTAGTTCCTCAGCCGCATAATTCTATAATGCAGCGGTCATATCTCTATTTAGCGCCAAAATTTTATGAAATTATACCTAAAGACTTAAAAGATTTACATTTCGGAAATTGTTTCAAAAGACATTTAAAAAGTGGCTACATTCTATATCTAGGACTGGAAAAATTTTTTTTATTATTATTTGTAACATCAACTGATTACTCAAATGCGCACATAATGTTGAATGAAATATCAGTAAAAATCAGGAGGAAAATAGTTAATAACTACTTTAATATTTGCCACCAAGTTACCTTCATAATCCAAAAACACATTTCTGAATTAACCGTCATGTACATCAGGTAGAGTACGTTAAATATGCTACAATAATCGTAATATATTATTCACTAGCGCTAATGTACGGCACGCCGGCTGCCGGCTCGGTCGGCATACTCGTGGTGACGTCACGCGTCTGTTATTAGGTCTTGTTCTCTCGGCGGTAACGACTCAGCTGATCAAGTCGCAGCCTCCACACACAAAATTACTGGCGTCGTTCTCTCATATTCATTTCGGATGGTCTATTTTAAAGGTTTTAGACTTTTTTAATTGAACCATGAAGATGTGTCACAAAATAACAGAGGTATTGCAATCTCAGAAATTTTTGATTTCAGAATACACTTTCTGGACTTTTATGATATCTGCCATACTGGAATCCATGCCACAGACAGCTTGGTATCGTAGAGGTTAATGTTATAGGTCACCTAATCCAATTTTGTCCCAAGGGAAATTGGATGT